TGCTATCACTTCGTATCAATTTAACACATCCTTGCTGAATAAAAGTTTTAATTTCTTTAAAAAAAAGAAAGAATAAACATTTATTTTTAAATTAAAAATTAATTTTGATTTTGACCCCAAACATTTGAACGGTAGTGTATATTGTTAGAAAAGATTTCTATTTTAAATAAATGCTCTTCTTTTTAACTTTTTATTCATCAAAGAATCCTGAAAAAAGTATCACAGTTTCAAAACAATATGTAGCAGCAACAGTTTCAACACTGATAATAAATCAGCATATTAGAATGATTTCTGAAGATCATGTGACACTGAAGACTGGAGTAATGATGCTGAAAATACAGCTGCGCATCACAGAAATAAATTACAGTTTAAAGTATATTAAAATAGAAACCATTATTTTATATTGTAATAACATTTTGCAAGATTACTTTTACTTACTTTTACTTTAGATTTTTTCTGTATTTTTGATCAAATAAATGCAGCCTTGATGAGCAGAAGAGACTTCTTTAAAAAACATTACAAGTCTTACTGATCCCAAACGTTTGAGCGGTAGTGTATGTATGAAACTCATGGCAATGTAATGAATGCTACTGACCTCTTTAGTAACATTAATTTGTACTTATTCTTTAAAACATTAGAAAACACATTTCCCACAAAGTAATCCCAAGGAATAAAATGGCAAGTTTTGGTAGTCAGTTATATACTACTTTGTCCATATATTAGTCTTTCTCCTATATGGCAGGCCTGCTGTAAGAGTCTTTCTGGTAGACTCGGCTGTGATTTCATTATTAAAAAGTACAAGTAATTTGGCTAAAAACATTTTGGAGGACCAGGTCCAGTACATAGCAGCAGAATATAGCCCAGAATATGAACGCAACACGCTTAGTTGCACGTTAAGTGTTTTCTTGGGGTAGAAAACGCTTAACGTGGCTTAGTGGAAGCAGACAGTGATATAAAAAAACACATCTAGTATTCAGATTATTCAAATTTATTAAAAGGCAAGCAGATGAACCCGGAATATGAACGCACCGCGCTGAATTTAACTGCTTTCCTCCCAGTCCCATAGAAAACTTATAAAGAATAAAGTGTGTATATATTATATATAAAATATATTTTTTTATTTATTTAATGTTCTACCCCAAGAAAACGCTTAACGTGCAACTCAGCGTGTTGCGCTCATATTCTGGGCTATATTCTGCTTGTCTGTATATTGTATGGTATATGCTTTATTAATAAAGGGTGTGTTGAACTTGGTCCTCCAAACTGTTTTAAGCCAAATTAACTTGTTTCAGAATTTCCCGTTTATCATTATAGACCACTTTCCTGTGACCAATGTGTTTATAAAGTCATTAAGTCAATTTCGACTTTTTTAAAGTCATAATTTTGACTTTTTATCTCATAATTGCGACTTAGTCATAATTTTGACTTTTTTTTTCTTACGTGCGGAAATGGGCTTCCATAGGAAAGGCTAGAGAGTAAAAGATATGTCTTAAAAATGAGATGAAACTGCCATGTATGTCCACTAGATGGTGCTGTATATGTGCAGTTATCACTTCAATAAACTCTATGGCATCCCAAAAGGAGTTCAGTGGGGTCAAGTTTGGGTTTTGTGCAAGAGAGTCATGTCTTATCCTATAGTGTATAATTAATGTATTGCTATATTGTTTGTTATAGACACAGAAGATGCCAGTGAAACAGATCTGGCCAAACATGATGAGAACGATTGTGTTGAAATCAAAGAACAGTAAGTATTCATTTATTCATGACAAACGCACACAAATCTATCATAATGAAAAGCCCTGTGAAAATAACGTATATGACACATTTCTGATTTCAGTTGCATGTTATGAAATAAAACTGGATCATTTCTTTGAGATGTTGTGTTTATGTCTTGATTTCAGGATGTATCAAGACAAACTGGCATCGCTGAAAAGACAGCTTCAACAACTGCAAGAAGGTGACTGGAAATACATATATTCACTATTGAAATTATTATTTTTAGAAATGCACAATTAATTTTTTTTGAGTCAAGCACTTTAATAATGAAAGTTTAAATGCAAAAGTACACAGAATTTATATTTTCTTTTATTTACACATGTTACTGTACATCAACAGTTTCATAATAAGTAAAAAATAACTATGCTTTTCTTTTAAAACAAAAAAACAAAAACATGTTTAATTACTATTAACTTTAATATAACTATTAGGGTGTTGCACATACACCCTAACATTATTAGTTTTCACATGTTCTTATTAAAATATTAAACAGCCTGTAAACAACAATGTTGTGCCCGCATTTTTTGCGTTAATATTTTTAATAGCTGCTTGCGCTTGCTTAGAATAAACTGACTAATATTATTTGAATCCCTTGCGTTCATTCGAGCACTCAGTCATGTGGCCAGAACACATACACATTCATAGAAATTATATTTAATTTCTATACGGCTATCGTACCACACACAGAACCAAATTGATTTCTCGTTTGCAATTTCTAATAACGTAAGTTGCACAGATATATCTATCAGATAAAATAATAGACACAATATAGCTTGATCTCAGCCAGTTGATCAACACGTATCATCATATCGTCATGATTTCTTAATGTTAAAGCATTTAGGGATAAAGTACGAGCCTCTGAAATGAATCGTATTGTGATACAAAAAAGTTTTACTGTACTTAAATAGAACAAATAAATGATTTCTTACCAAGAGTTGCTGAACAATAAATCAAAGGAGCATTGCTTTATGATCAGGGAGAGTGATTTGTTATCACAAATAGCCTAGTTTTTGTAGCCTACATTATTCATGGCGTGAGCACTTATAAATTCAAGCAGAATTGGTCATTATGAATCTGTAATAAATAAATACAAATGACAAAGGCAAATTTCGGTCAAGTTGTTTATTTTCATTGAGCTATACTGTCACCATTGTGTTGTTTCTAAGCTGAAAAGCTGAAAATGTATAACTGTATAGTAGGGCTGCACGATTAATCGAATGCGATTGTCATGCGCATTTTGTTAGTAAAGCCGGTTCTGTAACCAGCAGTAAATCATCATCACGTGCTTTCAGATGGAGCAGCATTTACTACACAGAGCCGTAGTTCACTGACAAGTTACGCAAAAAAATCGCAGAAGATTTTATTGCGCGATTCTGAAATCGTTCGCGATAATGACAGCTGTTTGCATAGCTTCTCAGTGAACTACGGCTCTGTGAAGTAAATCGATCTCGATTCCATTTCGATTTATCGTGCAGCCCTACTGTATAGTTTAAATTTGAACTTCTACCTCCACTATTTCCCAGTCTCTTCTGTAGTGTCGGTGTCCCCAAATTTCAGAATGCTGCAAAGTAATCGGTTTAGCGCGTTTACATGGCAGAATTTTAATTTCGCTCGGTTTATAGAAAGGTTTATCCCACGCCTCTCAAACCGATTACAATTTCATTCAGTTTGGGCATTTTTTATTCCGACTGAGGTGTTTACATTGAGCATTTTCATTCGGATTGGACTTTTAAACCGATTACAATGCTCCATGTGATACCCGTAAAAAATGTCAATATTTTTTTGAGAAATATGTTGATAATTGTCTAACAAGGTGATGTAGACTAGTCGTTAATGCACTGGGCTGATAGGTTCAAAGCATATAAGAGGTAATCTATCACCATTGTGCTCCTGATCCGGACAGCTTATTCCAGTGAGATTGTTCCTGTAATAAATGTACAGTACATCACTGTGGATAAAAAATGAGATCACTTCCATACCTACGCATTTCCACAGGCACACTGCAGGAGTACCAGAAGAGAATGAAGAAGCTTGATCAGCAGTATAAAGAGAGACTTCGTAGCGCTGGTAAAGATCATATATAATAAAGCTGTTCTTCTCGATGTCAATGTCAATATTTCAAGAGCCAACATTACGTTATTAATGCTCATCTCATTTTCTGTCCTTCTCCTCCCATCTCTTTATCTTCTCAGACCTCTTTCTACAACTTGAGGTAAGCTGCAAATTATACATTTTGTGTATCTGTGGATTTTTGAACAGCTGTGACAGGTTAATTAATGTTAAATGTCTTGTAGACAGAGCAGGTGGAGAGGAACTACATCAAAGAGAAAAAAGCAGCGGTGAAGGAATTTGACGATAAGAAAGTGGAACTGAAGGAAAATCTTATTGCAGAGCTGGAGGAGAAGAAGAAGATGATTGAGAATGAGAAATTAACTATGGAGCTGACAGGAGGTGAGAAAGTAAAACACAGAGATCAGATAGAAACGTGCAACCCGGGAGGGGTTTTTGCAAGGCATTCTTAATATTGCTGTTGTCGAGAATAAGATCCCGTTCCTATAGCTGAATGTTTAGCTATTCTCTTTTGTGTTAAAAGAAAAAAAAAAACCTGAAGCAGTAGTTTACCCAAAAACTTATAATTTCTCCCTCATGCCATTCCACACCTGAATTACTTTTTTTCTGCAGGACACAATAAGAACATGTTTTTTTCCATGCAGTGAACAAAGACTAAGGGACTTTCAAGCTTCAAAAAGATAAAAAAAATAAAAAAAGCATCATAAAAGTATCACTCTTTGGTGAATTCGCAAAAGAAGTAGCAATGTCCTGTTCGTAAATGTATCGTTCTTTTGAGTCAAAGAATCGTTGTTCTGATTTATAAAAGCAAACTGAATGATTTGTTCACAGGTCCACGAGTTCAATACACAGACTCAATGATCCAGTCACAGTGGTTAACTCGCTGTAGAGGGCAATTATCAGTGAAAAAATACTTGCATTTTGGTCTGTTCGTCACACAAAGCTATTGTATGACTTCAGAAGACACTTCATTTATATTTTTATGCTGTTCTTTCATCATTTTTTGAAGGTTGAAAGCCTTAGTTGCCATTCATTGCAGTTGTATGAAAAAGATTGACTATTACAGCCTTGACAATTTCTAATTTTTGTTTAGATTCCATGGAGATGAAACCTATTATGACCCGGAAGCTCCGGAGACGACCCAATGACCCTGTGCCCATTCCAGACAAGCGGAGAAAGCCTCCACCTGATATCCTTAACCTAGCTTTAAAGACCGAGCACATGCACTGAAAACAAGGGCTCATCTTTTATGCATCTGTAGCATTCTATGGCATTTAATTCCCTGAAGTCCATTTCTAGTGCTAGTCAAACTCTTTGGCACCAAAAACAATGGAATGCATGACCGTTAGTATTAAACAGGCTGTTATTGCTGCTGCACCTTTAAGAGTTCATTATATTAAGTAGGCTTTCTTAACTCTCCTCACCTCAGTTAAACTATTTACTCACTGATGAACAGATCATGGAGGATCTAAGAACATTAAACAAGGTAGGGTTACGTCTCAGCAAGACTGTAATTGGCTCCATGAAGCCTAGCTAAATACAAATTTCACTGCCTCACAGATACAGTATTATAGTACTTTTTAGCCTAATTTTCAATATGTCTTATTCTACAGCAATACCATTGTCAATCAAATTGTAATGCACTTGCATATTCGTTTGCAGGCTATGAGATGAGGAAAAAGTGTGATAGAAAAAGTTTCATCAAAATTTCCATTTCATGAAAATGCAATGAAAGTCTTCATGCCTCACGTCTTGGCTTTGAAGAAAGGATCTTTATTTATTTATTTATTTATTTATTTTTCCTAAAAGCTCTCAATTAGGTAATAAAAAGTAGAATCCCCTGAAAATGTCATTGTGTTTTATTAATCAAAGTGATATATGAGAAAATTCATATATTACTTGGTGATAAGAAGAAATTGGCTGTTTAAAAAAAAAAAAAAAAAAGCTGCAAACCAAGAAAAAAAAAATAGTAAATAGAACAGAAAATATTTTTTTGACTCTGACATACTATTGGATTTACTGCTGATTTGACCAAGATATCACGTTGATTGTCCATGTCTGTCGTTTTTTAAAAAAACTGAGATTGCTGAAGAAAATCAAAACAATCTTCCTTATTTGCTTTATTTCCTTTATAGCTTAAATCTCCGAAAAGACCAGGTACGGACGTTTTGTCTTTTAGAGGTGATTCCCCATATACTTCGTCAGATCAGTTTATTTTAGCCACAAAGGCTTTAAAATGAATTGAAAATGAATGTGTGTGATGTTTTTCAGTGTCCCCGTCTTCTCCAGTGGAGCACCTCCCGTCAACTCCAGTGGACGTCCCATCCCAGCGTTATGAGGCACGGATAGAGGAGGGCAAACTCTACTATGATAAGAGATGGTAAGTTTCTCTGCGTTCTACTGGGCTTTTTCACACTTTTCTAACCCCAGGTACTTGTAATTCTGGGTTATTGTGATTCACACTGTTCATACTTCATTACACTGTTCAGTTCTTTAGATGTCACACTGTATATCTCTTAAGTCTGGCATGACATGCTGATTTGCGTATTTATGAGGTCAGCGACTAAGTAATGTTGGTTTAATTTAATGGTGTAGTTACAGCTTCTTCCAGATAATTGTGTATGCTTGCCATCCAAACCTTGACCCTCCGATTCTTGCAAGACCTTAAAGGGATAGTTCACCCAAAAATGAAAATTCTGTCATAATTTACTCACCCTCATGCCGTTCCAAACCTGTATGAGTTGCTTTCTTATGTTGAACATAAAAGAAGATATTTTGAAGATTGCTGGTAATCAAACAGTTGGTGGTTGCCATTTACTTCCATAGTAGGAAAAAAAAATACTATGGAAGTCAATGGCAACCACCAACTGTTTGATTACCAGCAATCTTCAAAATATCTTTTGTGTGAACTATCCCTTTAAAACCTAAAGAAATCTTACAGTCACTCTCTAGTATTTTATACCGACCACAAGATGGCGGAGTCGTCCTTCTGATTTTCAATTCTATTATATTACCGTTACATAAAGAACAAAGTCACATCACAGAGCTGGACTAAACTGAGACAAGACAGACTTAGAGCATCTATCTATCTATCTATCTATCTCTCTATCTATCTATCTATCTATCTATCTATCTATCTATCGTGCTATCTATCTATCTATCTATCTATCGTTCTATCTATCGTTCTATCTATCGTTCTATCGTTCTGTAGTTCTATCTATCTATCTATCTATCTATCGATCTATCTATCTATCTATCTATCATCTGTTGTAGTTCTACCTATCTATCTATCTATCTATCTATCTATCTATCTATCTATCTATCTATCTATCTATTGTTCTGTAGTTCTATTTATCTATCCATCTATCTATCTATCGTTCTATCTATCTGTCGTTCTATCATTCTATCTATCGTTCTATCTATCGTTCTGTAGTTCTATCTATCTATATCAATCTATCTATCTATCTATCGTTCTGTAGTTCTATCTATCTATCTATCTATCTATCTATCTATCTATCTATCTATCGTTCTATCTATCATTCTATCTATCATTCTATCTATCGTTCTATCGTTCTGTAGTTCTATCTATCTATATATCTATCTATCTATCGTTCTATCTATCGTGCTGTAGTTCTATCTATCTATCTATCTATCTATCTATCTATCTATCTATCTATCGTTCTGTAGTTCTATCTATCGTTCTATCTATCTGTCTGTAATAATTATAAAGGCTTATTTGTATGCATAATTAATTTTTTTTTTTTTTTTACAAATTTGTATAATGATTCTGCCATTAAAATAGTATGGAATGCAGAAGAGGTTATTTAAGGAATTTCTTAATTGCATAAATCGTTCAGATTTATATTGTGTTTGGGCTGTAAGAAGGTGTTCTCTTTAATATCTCAGTTACTCCTTTAAGCTGTTATTTCATTAGCTTTGTGTACATAAGGTTGTGCATGTGATGTAGTTTCTTTAAACAAGGCAACATCTGTGGCAGGATTCAGGTCATGCATTGCAGACATGGTATTTACCGCTGTCTGTGTCATGATATTTAATAATGTAAACGTCGTGGACATGATGATCCGCATATTCTGACATGCAATACTCTGTAAAGACTATATAAATCTATATTTCATTGTTTGTGTGATCATCGTGCACAGGAAGCTTGTGGTTTAGGATGAGGTCTGAAGATTACTCTGTCTTGTGCGTTTGTGACATTAAATGTCAGGAATGCCTCTGGATTTTTATGAGTGTGTCAGCATGCATTCATCCAGTCGTGCCCTTTAGACAGTGGGCTGCCGTAGCTTTCAGCAATGCAATCCAACGGGAATATTTGCGTGCAGATGAGGAGCGAGTGAGCGGAGGAGGAAATGTGGTCTAGGGTGATACCGCGGGCATTAAACGTATAATGTTACATGTACATTAAATGCAGTTTTATTCTGCTTTTTAATAACGAGTGGAGAGTTATGCTGCTATCTCAACTTTTCCAGAGGATGTTTATGTGAGAAGGTTGAAGCCACAGGCTACTTTTGCTCTGTGTTTTAAGAGATGACAAGCTCTCCCTCTCTAATTAGTGGCGTTTGCTAAGGCAACCATCACTATTGCATTGCTTTTGTGCCCACAGCAAAATAAATCATAATTTACTTGACTTGTAAAAGTGAGTTTGCAGTCTGTATTCAATGTGATGTAACAAAAAGATTAAACTAATAGCAAGAAACATTTAAGTTATCCTCCTCAGCGGGTTGCATGCATACGATATGCTTGCGGTATGTGTGATTCACAAACAGTGACTCTTAAGAACCAGTTTTTTCCTTGCTGCTCAATCTTTGCTGTTGCCGCACGGTAAAATAAATCATGTTTTACCTGAATTGTGAATGTGAGTTTGCGTTCTGTATTGAGTGTAATGCAATATGTGTACTTAAAAATAATGCAGAAAATCTTCTTTCTACTCAGCAAAAAGAGAAGCGTCCCTTTTTCAGGATGCTGTATTTTAAAATAATTGCTCCCTTTAAAAGGAAATAATTTAATTTTAGGCATGTATAATTGCATATAAGAGAATTCTTGTGTGTGGAAATTTCACGAGGGTGAGAGAATGATGACAGAATGATCATTTTTGGGAAACCCTCTAAGCCTAAATATTGCTTTTCAGTGGCAGTACGTGAGGAGATGAGCTCACATACAGTACCCGACTGAGAACATGCCCCTGAAGGGAATTTTCTCTAATGGTCTTTCAGTCTAGAGGATCTCAAATGACCAATGCTGATATTGTTTCAGGTACCATAAAAGTCAAGCAATCTATCTGGAGTCCAAGGAGAACACCAAGATCAGCTGTGTCATCAGCTCTGTGGGGACCAATGAGGTTTGTGTCTGATTCTCTCCTCTGATTGGTGCTAAACAAATGACTGTGCTGTTCAAACTAATGACCTGCTCAGAGGGGGAATAAACAGCAGGTTATTGAGATCAGCCCAAGTGCATCAGCGTTGGAGGGCCAGAAGAGGAAAATTCTCATTTATTGTCATCTGCATCCATATCAAATTGTACAAGGATGTCTTTCCAATAGCTTTTGTCTCATTTGCATCCTTTTAATGCCAGCACCAGTAGCACACTGCATAGATCTGGACTTTTACATGCTGAGCCAGTGGCTTTGGAGTACAAATCACTGTTTGGGATTAATTTGGATGCTGGAAGAAGGTGGTGCAGGATAAATACTGAAGTGCTTTGTCTTGGATTTCGACTCTCTTGCAGATCTGGGTGAGAAAGACAAGTGACAGTACGAAGATGAGGATCTATTGGTATTTTAGCTGGAAGTGATAGTTTAAAGTTAAAACACCTTTATGATAGGTTTGTTTCTTACAAACCAATTCACTGCAGAAGATCTATTGGTGAGCAAGTGATTTAAGGCTAAACTGAAGAAACAAACTCCTTTAAATCATGGATGGCCTGAGGATGAGTAAAATTTGTAACTGTTCCTTTAATTCATTGGAGGTCATTTCTCATTTGCATAGTTGAAATTGTCTAAACTTAGTTGCATGCCCAACTGTTGCTTCAAATTGCCATTTTTTCATGAAAACGAATGACATCAGGTGACTTTATTGACAAAGCAAGATTTTTGTGATTACTACGATTACAACAGGTAGCTAAGATGCTTCACGAAAATACAAAAGTCTAAGTTAGCATTGTACAGTATAGGAATTATATTAACATTCACTTATGTGAGTTAAATGATGACAAAACTATTCTCCCTATTCACCATCCAAGCTGTAAATGAGGTTATTTCTTCATCAGAACAGATTTGGTGAAGTTTTGCATTATATCATTTGCTCACCAATGGATCCTCCGCAGTGAATGGGTTCCGTCCATCCATCTTCAAGATGTTTGTAACTTCAAACCATTGATTCTGGCTAAAATTATGAGTCCTCTATCCATAATATTCTTTTCTCCGGTGGAAAATGTCATCCTGTCTCAATCAGGAGAGAAATATGCACAAATCAAGTACCGTTTACAAGTGGAAACTGTCCAAAACCGTTCTAAACAAATATGTTGGGGGATTTTGATGAGAAGACAACAGGAGATGAAGCGTTATTATGGATTATGGTCTGATATTTTGGCCAAGACACCTCAATGATGGATTTGTTTCTTACAAACACGCAGCTTCACTTAGATGTGAAGGTTTCGAGGAAATGCATAAAAAATTGGTAAATGAAAACTAGAGAACGTTTTTTGTGAAATCACTCTGACTGTTGTCCTTGTAATTTTCAGTCTTTTAGCCATCCGGATCCACTGTCTGTTACCTTATTTTGGATGTCCTGTCATCTTCCAGTCACACTGATTTTTTCTCTCGCCATTTCCTCTATGAATGACAGGCCATTCTTTTATTCTCCAGTTCAAAACTCAATTCCTCTCCAAAACACATTATTTTTATTTATTTATTCTGCATTCTGAAAGACTGAATTTCTTGTTCATCTTTTCTGCCGGCATGTCCATTTTAAAGTATTTTTTTCTTTTTCAGGAAATAATCCTTGGTGTCAAATCAATTCATGATGTTTATAAGACATCTTGCATTATTTCCTGACAGAAATGTTCTCCCTTGATATATTTTTGCTTGTGGTCAAATTGTACTTGTTTAACAGCATTCAAGTAAATTATAATCATCTTTGTTGTTGTAACATGCAAATCAGCAGTGATGTAGTTCTTGTTCTAATTCATGGCATATGAACTGAATTCCCATTTACTTTCTCCATAGAGGAAAAGATTTTGAACAGACCTACTGTGAGATACAATATTATTAATCAACGGTATAGGTTTTGTTTAAGCCATCTGCATTATTTACTTATTTTTTTTTAACTGTGACATTTCTGGTGAAAAGCTACATTACCCATGATTCTAAAAAGTAATCTCCACCAATCAGAAATAGTTCTTAAATACTAGTTAAATACTTCTTGGGATTGTGGTTCTTTCCCCCATCAAAGCCATTGATATGTTTTTTTTTTGTCGATTTTCAAATACTTTCTGCTTCAAATCAAAGTTGTAGTTCAACTTGAAGCTGGTTGGCTTGGTTCATGGCTTATAACTCTTGAACGAAGACTTAAAAAAAAATCCCGATATGGGAAAAATGAATGGAAAAAATACTTCTAGAATCAAGGCCACTGAAAAGGTTTCACTCAGTTTTATAAATCTGTTACATTTAAGAATGAGTCACACAAATGCCGATGCAAGCACCTGGTCTGGTTGAACACACCTGACATTAAACAAGATAAGTTATTATTCAGTCTTTACCACACGGTTATCACTAAAGTGTGACACCTGACAGCAAAAGTATATCAGATTTCACGTGAAATGTGAAACCCATGCATGTGAGACTGCACTGTTAAAAATATCACATGGATTCATTCTCAATTTTACCCTCATATGTTAAATTTTCAAAAACAATATCTAAACTCCTTTTTAAAGACCTGTTACTAATTATTGCATGGCCTCTGTGATAATGGGAATCCAAGAAAACTCGTTTAGTCTTTTTTGCATTTAAATAGACAGTTCCTCCAGGGCCGATCAGCATTGAATAAATCACCAGTCAAATCAATGATCCCTAATTACCAGAATCAATATTAGTAAGGGTCAGCAAGGGTGCATTAGATGAAAATACATAGTAATGACCAAGTGAATGTTTGTGATAAATTCTCACTATTTATTTCTCTAGAAATCGTCTTTAACCTGTTATTATTTGGTCTGGGGAAAAGGATTTCATTAAGGCTTTTTTCATAATGTGCCTTATTAGTGCGAGCAGCGCTAGTCTATAAATCGTAATACCTGCAGCTCTCACTGCGGTGGGCTTAATTCAAGGGTTCCCTGGACACCAGCTCAGCTTCAGCTTCTCCGTTTCAATCGCTTTTCACGCAGTGCTGTGTAGCAGGTGTCCAGCCATTCCCTGTTCCGCTGTGAATCTGTTGCCGCTCATGGGACGTCTGGCTGGTTGAAGTTTGGCCCCGGGCCCCTCTGGTTTGTTAAGGGGAATATGGGTTTGATATGTGCTTCAGGTCGCTCTGCGTGTTTGTATTGCTTTATCTGTGAAAGGCAGACCTGTGTGAAGTTGAGGAAGGAAGAAGTACGTTTTGAAGTTTCTGCTTCACTCTCATGAGTGCCCCTTCTGAAGGTTCAAGCTCTGTTTAATGGGATAGTTCACCCAAATTCTGAAAATTTTAAATCTCATGTTGTCTGAAACTTTGTATTTCTTTTAGTCTTTTCCATGCAAACAAAGCAAATAAGCAGCGTTATATTATATAATTAGTGTTCTGAAGCCATACTTTTTTATTTGCTGAAAATCTACACTCTTAAAAATAAAGGTGCTTCACGATGCCATAGAAGAACCTTTTTGTCTAAATGGTTCTATAAAGAACCTTTAGTACTCGCCCTCAGGCCATCCAAGACGTAGAGTTTCTTTTACTGGACAAAGCGTGTTATGGATTATGGTCTGATATTTTGGCCAGTTTCAAGACACCTCGATGGATTTGTTTCTTACAAACACAGCTTTTCACTGCACAAGATGTTAACTGATGGACTGGAGTGGTGTGGATTATTGTGATGTTTTTATCAGCTGTTTGGACTCTCATTCTGACGGCACCCATTCACTGCAGAGCATCCATTGCTGAGACACTGATGCAATGCTACATTTCTCCAAATCTGATGAAGAAACAAACTCATCCTAATCTTGGATGGTCTGAGAGTGAGTGCATTTTCATTTTTGGGGTGAACTATTCCTTTAACTAGCTTGATTTTGTTATTTAAAGTGGCTGCATGCAATTTTCTTCTGTTTGTTCTTGTCTTTCATCCAACACTTATGTCTATCTTTTCCCTCATTTTCATTAAAATATGCATTGTGGTGTTCAGACATTCTTTGTCAAGATCTACAAGTTGTGACTGTGAAAATCCATTTGTTGTTCACGGCCTTCCTTTTTACATCTCTCTGATTTACATATCTCTGGCTACATGTTGTCGCACGCTGATGCTTAACAGCTGCTACATGAATATGTAATATTTCACACACGTCTGTTTCTTGAGGGGAAATTAGAGCCGTAGTGGGAATAATGGCTTAATTATGCGTTGCGAGTCTTGGTCAGTACCTGCACGAGAGAAAATATTTGTTTGTAGTCTTTGATTTTACTGATGGGCTGTTTTGTTGTGCTTCCACGGTGTTTGGTGCCAAATTAAAAATAAAAATAAAATCCCTTTTAAAATGCCATCAAGATCTGGAATAAAGAAAATCGTGATTTTTTTTAAAGCTAGAGAAACGGCTCCAGTTTCAATAAATAACAAATGTTGAATCTTTTGCATTATTTGCAAATTAGGGACGACGGATAAATCACCCTTCGCTTGTTGTTTGCTGAAATGTATGCTTTTTTGACAAATTGACGTTTTTTTCTGTTCTATAGAGGTTCTATAGAGCTGCTACCGAGGGAACGGATGGCATCACAATAGATCGATAAAGCCAAATGTATTCCACGTGATAGAGTGCAGCAGGGCTCAAGCACAGCGGTGCATGTTTCATTTGTTGCTTGCACGCTTTCTACAACCTAGTGATTAATCGATCAAGCCTGTTCTCTATAGCCTGAGTCTGATTACTGCCAGAGAACAGCGAGCATCCGAGAACTGCTCTTTTATTGTGAAGGAACAGATGGAGGGATGATTCAAAATAAAGGAGTCAGGAGTTCACTTCTTGACAACATGACGAAGACATTTCAAACGTGTCTGTGTGAGTGGGTTTATTGTGTCTTTAGGTGTGGAAAAAGCTGGCTGTGTTCCAGAATCTAGTGGGCTGCTTCCCTATAGACAGCATTTTAAAGATATAAAAGAAGATCTTAATAATAATTCAACCAGTTTTGTCCATATGGGCTCTAAAATAACACTGGTCCACATTGACTTTCATTGTATGTTTCAAAATAACTTATTCTGTGTTCCACAGAAGAAAGATATATAGGTTTGGAACAAAACTAGTGAACTATTAGTAAACAATTCTTTAAGTCATAATATCTCACCACTCATTATATCCTCATCACATATTTTCGATTCATTTGTGTGAATCAATCAAAACTCTGATTCAGTCATTCATTTGAATCACTTAATATTCCTGTTTGGAATTTTTCATACACTACTGTAACTGTTTAGAGTCAATAAGATTTTTTATTTTATTTTTTTAAATAAATCAATTGATATTTTATTTAGCAAGGACTATATTGGACAATATTTAAATTAATTAAAAAAATGTAAAGACATTTAAAATGTTATAATTTCTATCTC